AATTACAAGTTAAGAAGGGAAATTTTAAACATTTCTCTTTTTTGTATCGAAAAAAATATCGATCTGTGAGACTAAATAATTGAACTGAATTGTGAATTTTCAGTATAGTTGCCCCCCTAATAAATATATTTGCTGTAAAACACAAACATTTCTGTAACTCAGTCACTTTTATTAATATTGAACTCAAATACTGTGTGGTAGTAGCTGAGACTCATCACACACACATTCTCCAAGCACTACATGTTTTCAAGGCGTCAAACTGAACTCTGTTAGTAAAATACCTCATAAAGCAGCAGATGGATCATCACTGGGTGTAAATCTACAACTGATTACATTTTAGAGTTACTGTGAATAAGGATGGCTGCTACAGCTGGAGAAAAATGGCCAGTTTTATTTATTTACTGTTTTATTGGCCCCCTTCACATTCATTAACACAAAGCAAAAAACTTGTTTTAGAAAATATAAAAAGCTTTCAGAATTAAAATGACAAAACTTCATAGCACTGTTTTACTGTTAGTAGTAGCATCATTGCTAGTTAGTGGTAATTTCATTTTTTGTGCGCTGTCTATAATTTGTAAACTAGCATGAGAACCTCTGTACTGATGATGCTGACACCTGAAGTTCCCCTCGGCGGGACAATAAAGGCTATTCTATTCTATTCTATTCTATTCTATTCTATTCTATTCTATTCTAGTATAAACAACAGCAATAAAAAGTAAGAACAATAAGTTTTAGACCTAGATGTTTGTTTATTTGTTTTTATAATGAAAACAAGATGTGAATGTATTTTCTTGAACAATAGTTATTTAAAGTGTTGGCAGGCTGAACCTTTGTATGAGGAAGCAGATAAACTGCATTTCCCAGAATGCACCAGGCTTGTAAAAGAGTTGTTTTTGTGAACTGCTCACCTGTTCAGCAGCTGCTGCATGAAGTTGTCGGAGCGTGTTCCTCTGTACATGACAGCTAGCTGTCCCTGAGCCTGGTCTATCACCACCTCACAGGAGTGGCCCCGGCCCGACCGCTCCACGTAGGCCCGCTCCTCCTCCAGGGCCCTCCTCAGACCCTCGGCCTTCTCCATCAGAGTCGAGATGTTCAGACCCTCCACGCCTTCCTTGCACCTGGTGGCCATCTTCACCGAGTCCCTGCCGACCGACGGGATGTTGATCTTCCACTCCTTCTTCTCGTCCTTTGCTTTGCCGGCCTCGGTCTTGCGGCTCAGCGCGGGCAGTTTGCTCTTCTTCAGACCGAACCAGCTGGCGATTCCATTGGAGGCTTTCTGCTTGACCTCGCCCCCCTGCCCCACTTTGTCCTGCTCCTGAAGCTTCAGCACGTTCTCCTCGATGCCCTTCATCACCTTCTGCTCAATGGCAGACTGCGGACTGGGAACGGGCTGGAAGGACTTCTCCCCCTCAGAGGTCGGTGGTCTCGGAGGAGGAGGGGGGAGGCTGTCTCCATACATCGGATTCTTCTTCCCTTTCCCACTGATCTTGGTCCTCTCCTCTGACTTGGATGAGTACCGAGGACCCTCTGAGGGCTTCCCCCCTCTGTGTGCGGAGGGAAAGGGTTTTGACGGAGACTTTGGGGGGATTTTGTTGGGRCTGTTGCTACTCTGAGGACCGGCGCTGGTTTTAACGTTGTAGGCCAGGTTCAGAGATCCTGGACACTTGATGTTGCTGCGGAGCACCTGAGGAGCATCGGTGCTGGGGGACGGCAAACCTATTTTGCTCTTGGAGACCTCTGGCTTGGCCACACACAGATCCTGTTTAACTGGACCTGGACCAGAAGATGGAGGTTTTACGGTCTGCTCATACAGACCTGGGTACTTCAGACCAACACTGCTACCTTTTGGTTTTCCATCCAAAGAGTCCGTGTGTTTTGAAAGTTTCTGCTCCTCTTTAAGGATCTCCGTGGACCTGTCTGCGGTCTTGCTCTTGTCCTCTCCAGGAGCAGACTCACTGAGCGTGTTGACAGGCCTGAGGCCGACTTGTAGGTCCTCAGAGCTCCTCAGCTTGCCCAGCGCTGCCAGTCGGTCTTTAAAAGCATGGTGACTGGAGTCGGCCTGAGCTCTGCCTGCTCCACCTGTGGGCCTCTTAGGGATGGAGGACTGGTCGGTCCTCCGAGCAGCGGGTGGAGGCTGGAGGGCCTCGCAGGTCGGCGCACCGGCGTCCCTCACGCCCGTCTCTGGGTTGTCTCTGTTTCTGGAGTAACTAATTTTGCTCTGAGTTTTGCTCAGGGCGGCGGAGTTCGGCAGACTGTGATGATTGACCCAGACTGGACTATCAGAATCCTCATCATCATCGGATGTAGACTCGGAGCTGGACGAGGAGGACTGCGTTCTTTGAGGCGAGGGACTGAGGACACTTTCTGGTAAAGATTTAACGAGCTTCCTCTCAYCACCGTTTGCCTTTGCTTGAGTTGGAATCGTGCTTCTTTTCTCAGGACCCTGGGACTGTTCGTCCTCTCTGGAGTTGGACATGTCCAGGAGATTCTCATAATGCGGGACGCTCTGAGACCCTCGGGGTGAGCTCAGAGACGCAGCAGAGGGAAGCCCCATCTTTGAGGCAGCATTGGGTTTTGGTGCCGAGAGGCTGCTGTAGCTTATTTCCTTAGCGGGAGAGGAATAGGGGTCTTCGGGCTGTGGGGGGGAGGTGGGAGCAGAGTGTGTGGCGGGGTAGGACTCAGACCTGGAGGGTGGGGGAGGGGGCTGCCTGCACCGCTCAGTGGTGGTGGCCCTGCGCGTGGGAACGGGAGAGTGGTACACCTCGTAGTTGTTGGTGCGACAAGGGATCCTGGAATTGCGCGTGAGCTGCGGGCTCAGCCGGACGGCAGAGCTGGAAGCCTGGCTCTTCTCTCCAATCGTGGGGATCTTCAGGAACTTGAGCAGCTTGGACGGGGAGCTGATGGCGGCAGCTTTGACGTCACTGAGGCAGGAGGGGCTGGGGCTAACGGACGCACCGGCTCGCACCGAGGACTCCTCCTGGTCCGCGCCGTCTTCATCGGGGACGGCCGGGGGGTCGCTGAGTGAGGCGCTCGACGAGTGCGCCACGCCGTTGTGAACACCGTCACTCGTACCCGAGTCACACCGGTGGGCTTCCTGCACAGAGCTGGACGGAGGAGAGGACACAGAGAAACCGGTCAGCTCCTCAGAGACTGCGGGGATCTCAGAGTCCACCTGCTCTGCTCCCACAACTTCTGCTGTTGTCACTGCTGGAACACCTGAAACACCAGCTTCAGTCATGGTGCACTGCGCGGTCGGGGGTCCGGACTCTCCTGCTCTGGTCTTACTGTGACCTTCACCTGTAGCAGCTGCACGGACATGGCTCGGAGCGGTGGAGGTGGTCTTTGAAGGGCTGCAGATATGGTTGCATGGCTTCAGAGGACTTCCTGGGCCCTTTTTGCAGTGTAAACAACACGTGTTGCCCGCCTCGCACTTCCCCGCCCCGTCACCGTTCAGCTGCTGGTGCGAGTCCGTGTCGGAGCAGGAGCAGTGACAGTGTGTGTGGTGGGCTTTGCACTGGAGAGGGACAGGGTCAGCGGTGGCCAACACGGCCTCCGTTGACATCAGCACCTGGCTGTAGTCGCAGAAAGACAAGCTGGTGGTGGACGGGTGAAACTTCAGGGGGTCCGTCTCCTCCATCTTGCGCAGGACCTCCAGGATGTGCGCCTTCTTCTTGAAGAAAGGTGACAGTGCCTCCATGGAGGCGGCAGGACCGCGGGGCCCTGGGGAAGCATGTTGTGTGTGGTAACCATTACCCTTTGGAAAGAAAGAGACTATCGTCAGCGTATTATTCAACGCAGACACTCAGAAAACTGCACAATCGAGTTCACGAGGACCACTGAGTGTGTGCGTACAGGAAATGAGTGTGAATGAGATTAGCAACAACAGAGCTAATGTCACACACAGACCAGGACTGGGGGCTCTGATGGGGCTCTGTGATAATCACCTTGGCTTGTGCTTCGGTCTGTGCCGGCTCCGCCTGTTTGGCCGAGTCATTGTGCGGCTGTGCATTGTAGTCTGGGAGGGGTCCCGCCTGAACCTGGAGCATTTAGGATGACATTACATACAGAACAGAGCGTTAGACTCACAAACATCTGGGACCTGCTGCAGGCTGGCGACTGCTCTTACAAAGAACAATGTATAAAAGGTGAAAAGCTGCAGATCCAGTGAGTGTGTCTGGTGTAGAGACAGAGCTCCATCTTGTCAGACACTGTTAACAGAATCTGTGATAGACTTAAATACCCACTTAGTATAAACACGTTCCTTAGACCAGGGGTCTGAAACCTTTACGTTGTAAAGTTTACAAATAAAAGAGTCATGTCTGCTCCTTGGCTCACTAATAAAATGTGTCCGGAGTCGCAAAACAAACTACAGTAATTATCAACTGGTGGCCCGTGGATTACTTTGAGTTTGTTGAAGTGGTGGTTTCTGGCCAGTGGGGGTGTTATTATATATACTGTACATACATATATATATACACACACATAAAT